TGACTTTTTTCAACATGCTATACTATGACTTTTTTCAACATGCTATACTATGACTTTGTGCTGCATACTATACTATAACTTTTTTCAACATACTATACTTTGACTTTTTTCGACATATATTACTTTTTTGATTACTTATTTTCGACATGCTATACTTTGACTTTTGTCAATATGCTGTAGTAAGACATTTCTTCCGACATATTATATTAGACATTTTAATTACTTTTTTCGAAATACTGTGCCTATACTGTGCCTTTTTCCCCACATGATATACAAATACTTTTTTCAACATGCTATACTATTACATTTTATTACTTTTTTAACATTCTATACTATAACTTTTTATTACTTTTTTCAACATGCTATACTGTTGACCTTTTTCACCATACTATATATACTATGACCTTTGTAGAGCTTTTTAATGACACAGTATACTGACCAAGAAAGGCAAAAACCTTAAGCCAAAAGGCATCAACCTCTATTTGATTCCTCAATTTGTTGATTACAGTAAGCATTATACTGAATGATGACAATTAGTAATAATTGGACTGACTGAGTTTTGATTGCATATGGGAGCAGTTGTCCAGTTCTGCCTCTTAGCTAACATTACACTGTAATCTGTGCTGTAATCTGCTCATCTATTTCCAGCAATATCTTACCTGTGTCTGTGTATTGGTTTCCAAAGGCATTTCTACCAACATTTTCCCTCATGGATGGGCCATTTTGATAAATGACTGGGTTAGACTAACAACATGTTTGCTCTTTATTCAGTCTGCATAACACATGATGTTTGTGTGTCGAATGCTTCAGTGTATGACATAGAATACTGACGGGAACAACAGTAACTTAAGCAGGGGAAAGCAGTAACTTCATGCCTGGATAAACAAAGCTTTCCAAGCACTCGAACCTTAAATGAAGGCAGTTAAGGCAAAAACAACCCACTATTTCCGCAAATAATAAGACAGGAGGCACAACACATTTGTTCACATGATATAGCAGGTCTTTATTGTTCCAAAAATGTCAAAAAGTCCCCTTTGACCAAAATTAAGTCAAAGGTGCTAAATGCTAAATTCAGTGCATATCTATTGCCTCCTTGTGGATAGCTAACAATGCTAACAACGATAACAGTGCAAATAATGGAAACAGTACTGAGAGAGCCGACAGTGTTAACGTGGGGGGGGGGGGGGGGCGGACCTCAAGTTCTGAAAAGTTAAACCAATGAGGAATTGCCGTACACTTGCACTCTTCCTAATGGCCAGCAGGGGAAGATTCCACTGGTTGCAAAATGTCTGATTGTATAGAAGACTATGAGAACACGACTCTCTCACTGGATTTATTACCTCAGTAAACATCGTAAACAGGAGTTTATGGTCTCAATCGCTAGTTTCAAGTTTTCTTCGATACTTTATAATGTTCATTTAGTAAATTATGTTCCATTTAGAGTAAAATAGACAATAAAGCAGGCTATGCTTTAGAGCATGTCTACCTTGTGATTCATTTTGGAAATTGTTTGACCTTTTTGGCCAAATTTTTTTTTAACAACACGGTAATACTATATACTACAAATTACTTTTTTGTGACATACTACATTACTTTTTACTACATACTATATTATTACTTCTTTGATATTTCTTTGCCATATTATTCTATGACCGTTTACGATATATACTGCTATAATTTTCATTCCTTTTAATGACCTTTTATGACTAACATTTTTATGGATTTTTAGTTTTACTTTAGGCAATATACTATACTGTGATTTTTATGAAATCTAGTCAAATAAAGGGAGATCATTTTTGGAATTTTGCCTTTGAAATTGTCACTTATTAGAGAGGTGTCATAATACAGGAAATTAAATAAAATGATACAGCCAGATTGTGTAAACGCTAAATATGACTTTACATGTTGTGAAGAAGGATGGCTGTGTTTGTGTGTGAGAAAAAATGACTCCAACATTTAGCCCACTTTTTACTTTTAAAGGTGGAAATCAAATCTGCTCACACATTACAAGTACATCATGGACCACATTGAAAACACGATATCAATCATCCTGCATGATGCCAAAAATGTAAACATTTTCATTCGACAGCACAAGAAAAGTAAACATAAAGTATGTGTTTGTTTATATTTCTGTACAGCTCATGCAGTAGTCATGAAGTATGTTCTGTAGAGACATAAGCCAGGTAATCCCAAATGTCTGGGTCCAGTGGTCATTTTAAATGTCTGCACTTAAAATTATGGATAAAACAAAAAAGGAGTCATTCTCCATCTGTATAAATAATGAAGCAATAGAAAATGTACAAAGACATATTATTACGTAGTTACATTGTATCATATACTCAGTACTGACAGAATGTTTTTTCTTATAAACATTACACAATCTAACAAATAGTATTTACACAAAGATAACTTGTGTCCTCCAAACACAAATGTCTTTTAGTCAGCATCTGTAACGTGAAGGATGTATATTGTGAGACAATTATGAGAGTGGGAGGACTCTGACACATTGTACGAGCCGCTGCTTCTTTGCAGTGTGATCTGTCACTGTTCAAGTGTCCTTGTGGGCCTTGTAGATGTGTCATGTGTGTGTGTTTGCGTATAATTGTAGCCTCTCCACATAATCTGTCCTCGCTGTGCTGTTTTGACACACTCCTGTCATTGCACCACAGCATGTCTCCACAAGAGCGTGGCTATTTGACATTCTGCAAAGGTGTCTTGAAAAAATCAACCCTGAGCTGGTGTGGTTCTATGCATTAGTGTGTGCGTGTGTGTGAGTGTATACACTCTCACCTATTTCAGAGTGTGAGTGCTTAGTTATCAGCACAGTTGGATGCTGCATGCATACGTGTTACTGTGTTTTGAAGTGCCTGGATCCTGAGATGAACTCTTTTAGTGTCGCTTGATAAGCAGTTCTCTTCGTTTAGTCGGAGCTCCAGCGAGCTGAGAACACACTCTGCTTCATCAACCAGACCAGAACGATCCACCACCTGGACTCACACACACACACACACACACACACACACACACACACACACACACACACACA